TCTCCATCTTTGGCTACAGAGAATATAATCAATCTGATTTCTGTATTGCCCATCTGGTGATTTCCATGTGTAGAGTCACCTCTTGTGTTGTTGGAAAAGAGTGTTTGTGATGACCAGCTTGTTCTCTTGACAAAATTCTATTAGCCCTTGCCCTGCTTCGTTTTGAACTCTAAGGCCAAACTTACCTGTTGTTCCTTTTATCTCTTGATTTCCTCCTTTAACATTCCAATCCCCTATAATGAGAAGAACATCTTTCTTTGGTGGCAGTTCTAGAAGGTGTTGTAAGTCTTCATAAAATTGGTCAATTTTAGTCTCCTCAGCATTGGTGATTGGTGCATAAACTTGGATGACTGTGATGTTGAAAGGTCTGCCTTGGATTCGTATTGAAATCATTCTATCAATTTTAATAGAATTCTTCTTTTAATAGGATTCTTGCCCACAATAGTAGATATGATAATCATCTGAATTGAATTCGCCCATTCCTGTCCATTTTAATTCACTGACGCCCAGGATGTCAATGTTTATTCTTGTAATCTCCTGTTTGACCACATCCAGCTTATCAAGGTTCATAGATCTTACATTCCAGGTTCCTATGCAGTATTTTTCTTTCTAGCTTCGGACTTTCCTTTCACTTCCAGGCATGTCCACAGCTGAGCGTCCTTTCAGCTTTGGCCCAATCACTTCATTAGCTCTGGAGCTACTTGTACTTGTCCTCCGCTCTTCTTCAGTAAAACAGCAGTGTAGCCTGCTATAATGGTTCAGATAGAAAGAAATGTATCAGTACAGTTAAAAACAATGTGAATGCGCATGAATGCGCAGAGACGATGATGTTGATGATTGTGATGATGATGATGGTTTCAGCAACATTTCCTCTAATTTTGAGCCCCGCTGTGTAGGAACCTCACGTCTTCATGGGGGTGGGGTGTTTATCCAAAACTAGAAAATAAACAGGCATTGACACTGGCTACTGCTGCGTGGTGCCAGTGGAGAGCTGAGCGAGCATATGCACACACACCTTAGAGGGAACATTGGGATTTTGATAATGGTAGGGCACTGTGTTAATACTCTATATTGCAGCAACTTACTTGTGCAGTTGGATAAATGTTAATGATTACAGCAGTCTAGCTGTTAGGAGGGACTGTAATGTGGAACTCAGTACTTTCTTTTAAAAATGTAATGTTCCAAGCTCTACTACCGTGTTTTCCCGAAAATAAGACAGGATTTTATATTAATTTTTGCTCCAAAATGTATGAGGGGCTATTTTCAGGGGGTGCTTTATTTTTCTTTTCATGTACAACAATCTACTTATTCAAGTCCAGTCCTGTCATCTTCTTCTGGTTCCTTCACAATGCTGCACAATGGTGGAGGGTGGGGTTTCATTTTACTGGGGCTTATTTGAAATTAAATTGGTGTCCAGAATTGCTACCTGTGCTTTTTCATCTGTCATAATGAAATCTGCCTTCTTCTGAAAATTGTGTATACATGCTTTATGCACCTGGCTAAAAGATTTTAAAAATCAGTAAAAAGTAACTTGGCTGAAATATTGCATAACCTGCCTGTGACTCCCCTGAAACATCATTTGTTTCCTAATCAGAAGGATTCTGTATTGAATTGTCACTAGGTGGCAGAATTAGACTGCATAAATATAATCTATTTTGTTTTTTAGTCAATATACCAGTTTCTGCCATCAACATTTTTTTGTTTTAATTTAAAGTATTCTTAATGCTCTAGGAAAAAAGCTTGTTACACTGTCAGATGCTTTAGAATGATTCTGCTTTTTAGAAAAAGCAATAGCACATGGCACACTCTGTGGTTGTTATAGACAATTGTAGCTGCAATCCAAATTTCAGGTCAGGCAATTAAATTACTATGGTAAAACCTGCCTTTTTATCCTTGAAAAATATATAGCAATGGTGTGCTTGATAACACCTACAGATGTTCTGTGTCTTATTTTTGATCATGTATGCCTCTTTATCTTGGTTTCCTATCTATATACAGCTTAGATATTTATGCAAGCATGAATTTTGCTCTGCATCTTTTTAGCAGTGGTCAAATGGAAATATTTTTGTGTGTAAAGTTGGAACAAATTAATTAGCAGAAGGTTCCATAGTGGCATGTAAGAGAGCAAAAATAGCATGTTATGTGTGCATGGACATGTACACACATATTTTTCAACTAAACAATTTTTTGTTCTTATGATTTTCATACATTCACATTGATAAAATGATGGATGAGAAATCAGACTCATTATTTTTTTAGGGGATATGCTCGACAGCATGTTGTGGAAGGTCTTAAACCTAGAACAACCTACAGATTTCGGCTTAAAGTCACAGATCCATCAGGAGACTCAGTTTACAGTTCACCTGTTTGTGTAACCACAACAAGTAAGTGTACAGTTTATTGTTAAATATTAAATATTTACTATATTAAAAATATGCATATGGAAACAATTGTAAAATGGAATTCAAAAGTGCTTGCAGTAAGTACAGTGCACAGTGTTGTTTGCAATTAAGCATTATTTATATATATCTTTCTAAGGATTCAATTCAACTTCTTTGGTATTTTCTTTCCCCCATTGTTCTATAAAGGAAGTAAAACTTTTATTTTAAAATATGTTTTGCGTTTTGATGTGAAGCCTAGCATTATTCAAACCTTGGCAACCCAAAATAAAAGGACAAGAAATCTTACCAGTTCCACTTCATATAACAATAAACTCTGCCAAGGATCTTAACAGTATTTAGAACCCACAAAAATGTTCTGCTTTGATGTTGCCACTCCCCCCCTTCTTCTCCTCTTCTTCCTTATGTCTTCAAGGAGAAATAGTGTTTTGACAGATTTCTGGGAACCAAGTACCACAAAGCTTGCAGTCAACCAGGTTTGAGACCCCTAAGTATGCCAGAGATTTTCAGGGATTTAGTTGGCTGCAGTGGCACAGAGTGGAAAATGGAAAGGTATCACTGTGACACTTCAAAGACATTGGTGGATTGTACCCATATGTCTGCTAAGGGGAGAAATCAGAAAATGTCAGCTTCCAAAACAGGTTGTGTTTGAAATATCCCAATAAAACACAACCACAAATGTTTGTTTTGAATTTGGCAAGTGTAAAAAGTGAGAAGTACAGAATTTTTTGAGAAACAGCAAATGACTTACTATTATTTTGAGTGATTTAGTTGCATACATGAGCAGGTGATCATAAAAAGGTACAAGAATGCAGAAGGTACAACATCTAGTGAGAAAACAAATGAATTTATTCTGACTCATATTTCACCCCTTCAAACATTGCATGCAACAACAGAGAACTTGTGAAGGATGGATTGTTGTACTAATTGTTGCTAATATAGATGGAAACTCTTTGTGGGCACTTCAGGGCTGTGGTAATTGCTTAAAAATTTATTGTAATTGGGAACAGAAGTTTCAAAGGGAGCTAAGGGAGTGGGAGTGGCATCATCACTATTTGGAAATGTAGCACACATAAGATATTTCTCACCATGGGGACTTCCTTGAAAAGGATGTTAGTATATAGTAAAATAAAAATATAGAACAGAGTCTTGCATTATCTGAAATCAGTTACATTCTAGTGGAGCCTGACTGGGCTCCATGTGATAACTGATTCAACAGGATAATCAGTCATAGGCTATTGAGATGTGACTTTTTGGGATAAAGGCTTGAATCCGAAATAACATGGATTAATTTCTGCTTATGTAGTGGAACTTATTTCACTTTCTCCAAGTGTGTTTCATTCTTCACCTGGTAGGACCCCTTCTGTGCCTTCTGGTTATCTTTCTGAATTTTGAGAGAAAATGTAGAATTAATTTTGAGGAAAACAATAGGCCAGACACCATGCTGTGTGTATACAAAAATTTCTTCTGACCATGCCTTAGGGTAGGGGTCAGAGGTAAGCGAAGACATTTTGATAGGAAAAGTTGCCTGATTTTTCAGTTTCTCCAAAGAGTTCTTATTTGAGATTATTGCTTAGTGTAGTAAATTGCAGTAAATTAAGCCCTTTGAATCAGTGGGGATTTAGTGAGTCAACTCCTTTGTAAATTCAATTGATTCAAATAGACCTATCCTAACCGTGACTTACTATGCTAAAGTGAGGGCAGTTCTAGATCAAGGAAGTTGGAACAGTCTGGTTCACATTCAAAAGTTTCTTATCTTTAGTTCTAATCACCTTTAAAAGGTTCTTATCTTTAGTTCTGATCACATTCAAAAGGATCTTATCTTATCTCACACTCGGGCAATCCAGCTGTTCACATTGATCGATCCTTCTTCATGGTACACATAATACTGCCAACGTTCCTTGTTCATCCAGAATAGCACTGCATCAATAGAAAAATATATTTTAAAATTTTGAAATAGTAGATTAGATTAAAGTAGTGGAGAGGGGTTCTCCACCACCCCTTTCAATGCAGCAACCCACCAAATATGTTACAGAGCAACTTGTTCCTCTTTAGACACAGCACTGGAGCTATAGGATTTTTGGTATTTTTGGAGCACTTCTGATTATCCCGTTCTATAGCTCATGCGGCTGGTTTGTTCCAAGTTGCTCTACGTCAAAACACATGTGGATGCCGTAATTTGATTTGAACCAGACAGCATAAAAAGCTATCCAAATAGTGAGCTGTATGTCCCCCATATGTATGTGGGACATATTTTAGAAATAGGTTAGTGTATATATCAGTCAATACAGGTTTTCGGTGTATATTTTAATATTACTAGTCATCTTTTCAGTGTTATTTCCTAACACTATATATTTTCTGCATTTTATTCTGAATAAATAATAGGAAGGCTATTATTTTCTCATATTCTTGATAAATGATGTTTCTATTGCTATTTTAATATTTTATTATAAACATTTCATGCTTAGCAAGGAATATGCCTATACAGATTTTGTTTGTAGGAAGTAAGAATCAAAGTATTATTTATTTAAGGAAAAGTAAAGATTTTTGGAACCTGAATCTAAACAGGCCTTGCAAAAGTGTATTTTTACATATCTAGTCTCTACACTTTTTACATAACAATATACTGTACATGTGTATGCAATGTAGACAAAAGGACAGAACTAAGATAAGCCAAATTATAAACTGCTCTGGGATCAATTTTGATGAATGACAGTATGAACATGTTTTACAGTACAATTTTATAATGCCTGCCTGGAAGTAGATTCCACTAAATTCAGCAGGGCTTAATCCCAGGTAAATACATATCAGATAACAATCTTATATAAACCAGTATCATCCTGTGTGTGAGGTTAGTATAATACAATTATTTAATTTTATTTGTCATTAATCCAAAAATCCTCGTGCACTCTGCACAATGCCAGTCAAAAGGCTATTAAGTGTATCCTTTAAGATAGAGGTCCCCAACCCCTGGTCTGCAGTCCCATGCTGGTCCGTGGCCTGAGCTGGACCGGGCCGTGGAGACAGACCTCCCCCTCAACACCTGCCCGCACTCCTCCCTGCACAGCCCATTTGCACCTGTGCACATGCATCTGCGCCCACATGAGCACTCTCCCACCCCTTTGTGTATGTGCATGAGTGCCCCTGAGCACCTCGCTGCCCTTTGCGCATATGCACAAGCATGCGTGCGCCCACACAAGTGTCCCTGCTCCTTTGTGCATGCGCACGAGTGTAGGGGGGTGCCCCACCTTCCCCAGCCATCCGCAGGGCTAAAAACTTTGGGGACCGCTGCTTTAAGAGATGCCTCGCAACTTGAGGAAAATTGAGGGGAGAGCTACTCTATATGAACATTAGATTTCATGCTCTTATGGTGAATTAGGGATCCCTCTAATTGTTATCCCCACTGCATGGGTGCCCTGCATGCAGTGGGAGTGGTTTCATCTGAAACCCAGAAGTAAACAGGCATCAACCCCGGCTGCCGCTGCATGGCACTGATGAAGCTCTGTGTGCCCACACCTGTGTACCTTAGAAGGTACGTTGGTTGGGATGGGTAGCTACCCTCTAGCAATCAGAAAACACATGCACAGGCTTTGTGGTCTTTTCAAGGCATTTTCAGTGGAGAGGCACTTTTAGGCAAGAGAATGACTTGCTTAGGAGCTGCTGTTGGGAAAGGAATGTTGTATATACAGTACAGTATTTGTCCTGAAGAACCTGACACAAATATCAAGGATATGTGTTTGCATCCAATTAATACTTAGTGAATTGCGGCTAAGAGACTAATGAGCAAGCTCATGAAAGTTCACAGCCCAAAGTGGCCAACTGGTTTGCCAATTTCATCCCATATCATTCTTCCCAGTGGTGAGCCATCCTGAAAGGTTTATAAAAGCAATGAAAGGTTAGCATGTAACCATACGAAGTTACATGCTAAATAATGCATTGTTGTGGAAAGGCTTTCCTCTAAGGTAGGGGGAGTTGTGTTAAGAAGTTTGCAGTTTGTTTTAGTATTGGAATTTACATAATGTTTGTTGTCAGAATGGCGCAATGGACTGGTATGCTTCGATAATCATGAAGCCAAGATTTTACTTCACAATACTTGGCTTCATTATATGTAAATATTGCACTCCATTCATATTCATGTTTCAAGGCTTCATTATTTTAATGTGCCTGTTAAAAATATGCACATTAAAGCAAAATGTCTCTTTTGATTTAGAATTTCCATTCAGCTGGAAAAAAGATTTCATAAATCAGAAAGGCAAGTACTTTGAAAAGGGGTTGATGCTTCTTTTTTCCTCAGGTAAAATACAAAAAAGTCCTCTTTAAATGAGGCGTACAATTTTAATCATTTGATTCCTAAAATAGAAAGACATACAGCTGCTACTTGTTAATTGGAGAATGTCTTCACCAATGAGTTTGTCATTTAAATACAACCTTTCAATAGAGCCTTCAATTCCACAAATAAACTTCTTATTCCCCTGCACATCTGCAACCAAATGGCTCTTTATTTTTGCAGATGAGGATTTACTTCAGAAGACGAAAACATACTCTTCACCTGTCCAGATTCCTCTTTACCACATCTATTGTGTGGATATACTTTCAATACGTATTTTTTGTTATCCTTGCTTTGGCTTCTTAGAAAGCTTTATTTATGTGATTATTTTTAATACTGGACAATTCAAGAGAGACATGAAAAAATGTATAATTTAAAATTATTGATTAGTATCCTATTGCTATCCCTCCTGGGATACCATCCTCTCTGGGTGGAAATCTGAGGTCAGACCTTGGCCTGGCTCTGGGTCTTCCTGGAGGACCGTCCCCAGTGAGTATAGCTTGAGGAAATGTCTGCTCCGTGGACTCTTAAATGTGGAATCCCACAGTGGTCAATCATCTCCCCAATGCAGTTTAACATTTTTATGAGATTGCAGGGGGAGGTCATCAGGAGTTTTGGAGCTTCATGCCACCAATATGTGGATGACATCCAGCTCTATCTCTCCTTCCACCCCTCTGCAGAGGATGCTGTCCTATCCCTTGAGTGCTGTCTGGACACAGTGTTGAGATGGACAACAGACTGAGGCTGAACCCAGATAAGATGGAAATACTGTGGGTGGGGGCCCCTAGTGTTTGCGGTTTGGGTGCTTCCCTCTCCTTTCAGGGAGGTACTCTTTCCATGATGGATGAGATGCGTAGCTTGGGCATACTCTTGGAATCAGTGCTGTCAATGGAATCCCTTCCTTGACACTGAGTCCCTCACCACGCTGGTTCAAGCATTGGTAGTCTCGAGATTAGACTACTGCAATGCCGTCTACATGGGGCTGCTCTTGGGGCTGCTATGGAGACTTCAACGGGTCAAGAACTTGGTGGCCAGATCGTTGAGTGGGGTTAGGGAACACCAACATGTCTCCCCCACCTTGGCCACCTTTCACTGGTTATCTTTTCGCTTCCATACCTGCTTCAAGGTGATAGTGTTAACCTACAAAGCCCCAAACGGTTTAGGACCTTGATATCCGGCTGAGTGCCTCCTTCCAATCAGGTTTGACCATCCTGTAAGATCATCTCAGGCAGGGCGGTTGAGAGTTCTGACCCCGAGAGAGGCCTGAAAAATGACCACCCGAAATCAGGCCTTCTTAGCCATAACTCCACAATTCTGGAACTGTCTCCTGCCTGAAATTCACCTGACCCCTTCATTGGGAATCTCTAAAAATATTAAAAACCTGGTTATTTAGACAGGCCTTCTCAGATCTAAAAACATCTTGATGCAATAGTGCCTCCAATAACTTAACATCTAACCTACTGCCATACTTCTCACTTCATTTATCATGTTTTGCTGCGTATTTTATTGCAATTTTGTTTTGTAACTTTTATAATTTAATGGATGTTGTCAAGCTCCATCATTGTGTTATGTTGTCATTTAGTTGTTGTAAACTGCCCAGAGTGGCCTTGGCTGCCAGATGGGTGGTATAAAAATCAATCACTCAAACAAACAAACAAACAAATAAATAACCAACCAACCTGCTTTGCAAATACTTCTATGCTTTATTTTTTTTCAGGTGAACCAATGAGCGGAGAGCACCTTCACCGTGCTGTAAGTAGGGATGACATAGATGAAGTTCTTAAAATACTTCGGGGAAGGTGAGAAATGATTCATGTTTTAAATTTTTCATATCTACAGTATGTAATAACAAACACAAGATAATAATGAAAATTGCATGATGACTTCTACTCAGTCATGAAGAGTAGCTGTCACCAAAATATTAAACTACATACAGTACCTTACGAGATACTCAAGGTGACAAATTTCTAATTGCAGTTTACTATGCTATTACACAGATCAGTGCTGCATCTATTCTCATAATAGTTGGCTTGGTTCCAACTGTCTTGTACAGTAGCAGCGAACTCTAGTATGTTATTGATGATTCTCTTTCACAGTAGTAGCACCACCACCATTCCATAAAGTCCTCAGTGTTTGGAAAGGGTTTTTTTGGAAGATTCAGGAAAAATAAGTGAGAGGGTTGTAGCAAAGCTTCCTTGCATATATATAAAAAACAATATTATGCTATTGTGGATTCAAGCCAGGGTGGGTTTTTTTTTTTGAAGGTACAAAAGACAGCAATGGCCATGTAAATCTGAGTAGCTTAGGATCATGTACAAGGCGCATTGATTGGAATCCCACCCATTTTATAATGGCTTTGCCATTTTCATCATTGTGTTCATAGCCCCAATACTGTTATATCTCGAACTAGAAAGAGAGTGTTTTCGGTTTCCATATTAGACAGCTGGATAAACACTATAACAGAACATAACATGGCAAGAAGCAGCCAGAAAGCTTGGGGACTACTGGAAAAACTGAATGATGACTGAACAAAAGGATACCGTATGCAAATATAATCCTCAACCAAATAGCACGCCAACTGCTCCTGGCAGGGGAGACCAATCAACATAGAATAAAAATAAAATATCAAATGGATATTCACAGCGAATCCAATGAATTTTCCACTGCCTTCACATTGGGATAATGAGAGGAAATCATAAGAAAGTGTAGGAATGGCAGAAAAGGAGGACTCAGTATCTGCATTGAATAAATTAAACATTTTGGGCAAAATAGAAAGGAACAGCTCCATCAGCTCCTTAATAACTGCTGGACAAGCAAATAAATTCCAAAAATATGGTGGATGATGAAAGTAATTGCTGTACTGAAACCAGACAAAAAACCATCGAGTCCCAAAAGCCAATTTTGCTACTATGCCACTTATACAAAGTGTCTGAACAAATTATATTCAATCATCTAGCCCCTAAATTTGAACCTTTTCTAATTCCAGAACAGTCATGCTTCAGACCAGGCAAGAGCTGTAGAGCTCAAATCTTAAATCTTATCCAGCATATAGAAGATGTTTTTAAATTACATAAAATAACTGGAGCATCATTTGTCAACCTTGCAGCAGATTTGATACTGTCCACCATCAATCGCTGCTCTAAAAACTCCACCACCTTACTAAAGATTGTGGAACAACAGAAATGGTTGCCATTCCTTTTCAAAACTGAAGGTTCTTCATTGAGTTTCAAGGGAGTCACTGTCACTGGGAGAAATCAATGGAATGGTCTCCGACAGGGTAGTGTCTTGGCACCATTACTTTTTAACATTTGCACAAATGATCAGTGGATGTTCCCATACTTTTGGAGTTTCATGCTGTTTATCTTGCGTTGATGGTCCAGGGAGAAATCTTTGAGTTCATTGAGTACCAGCTAACCTCTGCATTAGAAGATCTTTCCTTATATCATGATAACGAACAGCTGAAGCCAAACCCTTTGAAAACACAGGTTTGTGCCTTCCAATTCAAGAACAGAGAAGCGGAAAGGAAGATCAAAGCTAACTGAGAAGGAAAGATTTTGGAACACTGCCCTGCCCCAAAATATTTAATGCCTCACTCAGGATCAAACCCTGACCTACAAACAACATTGTCTAAACACCAAACAGAAAGTTGCCACCAAAAATACCATACTTAGAAAACTGGCTGGGTGAGACTGGGGTGCACACCGACAAATAATAATAAAAAAAGATTTATCCCTGTGCTGCTCCACAGCAGAATAGGCTAGTCCCATATGGTATAAATCAATATATATCAAACAAGTGGAGGAAGCGCTTAATAAATCATGCAGGATTATTATTGGCTGCCTGCAAACTAATTCTATTTAAAAAGTCTATTATTTAGTTAGCATTGCCCCTCTGGAAGCACATTGAGAGGTGCAAGCAAATAATGAACAGAATAGCATCAAATCCATGAATGACAGCTAAAATCAAGGAAAGGTTGCATACACATCAAGCTGTAAATTTAAACCAGAAGAAGCTAGGCGAAATCTGTGGAGAGTAAGAACAACACTCCTTGCCAAATGGGTGACTGCCAAAAAGTATTTCCCACCAGGACAAGATTCTGGCTAGACATCTGGAAGTCACGTAACAGACTTTGAAGTGAAGTAGGAGGATCAAATAATAATCAAATAAAATGGGGCTACTTGAATAGAGGATACATTTTCTGTGACTGTGGAGAAACTTAGTAAATACAGTATTTATGTACATGCCATTTATGACCCACCACATGTACTAAAAAACTAGTAAATGATGAAGATAACATTATTGAAGTAGCCCACTTCTAGTCAAAAACAGTCTAATCATTTTAAATTTGTAAGTTTGTTTGGACTTTATATTTCATAGATGTCCATAATTTTAAATTTTGCAACACTCTGATGTGAATGAAGAAAGGAAAGAAGATGATGAAATTTAAATCTTTTGTAATCAGTAAAATGTATTTAAAGAAAGGACAGGAAGGCAGGCAGGCGGACAGCAATGGCCAATAAGGTTGTGCAGGAAGGGCCAGCTTCTACACGTATGGTGTAGATGCTGGCCCATGAGGTCAGTGACTAAGCTGCACAAATTAGCTGGTCACGTTCCTTGGATGTTTTAAAAACTGCTCTGGGTCTTCCTGATTCTCTGTGCCATCTTTGTTTGTTTTCATGAGATCCACAGCTTGAGAGCTCTGCAGTGGATGAGGGAGATCTGTGGGATGAATATTTTATCCAGTGCCAGCACGACAACAGTGTGACTGGCACTGGATGAAACATTCATCCTACAGACATTGTAAGTCTCTGGAAGACTGATTGTGGTGAAGCAAAGAGGAAGATGACAGCTGTGAGAGAAACTGAAAGTTGGAGGAGAGCCAATGTCACAACACTGCAGGAGGAAGGTCCTAGAAAACTTCATAAGCCAAGGGGGCAATGCTTGTCAGAATAGCTTGTTATGCTGTTGCTACTAGAAAACCTGGATACTTGTTGTAAGATAGTTCCATATCAACTACATCGGTTACAGTGATCTCATTGGCCTTATATGATATTTTTGCTGCACAAAATGCCTCTCGTGAATGAAGGGTGTGTTTCCCAATACAGCATTGTGGGGACTGATTCCATGGCTTGGGATGCTTCCATTTTCCTGTCAGCAGGATTTCCTGGCTGTGGTATAAAATATGTATTCAGTATCTCCACAAGTTCTCTCAGCTTTACCCAATGTGCATTTTTCTGAGCTGTCAAGAGAAACCAAATAAGACCAAACAAAGAAGGTATGATGGCAGAAACGAAGTCAAAATGAGTCAAAACCTGAGCAGGTTTCAAGACTTTTCTTTTTCCACAACTACTGTAGCCATGGCAGCCACACAGACTTGGGTACCAATGTGCACAGATTCCTCTGGGAATCTCTCCCACACTGCACGGCTTCCCCTTGTAGCCACAATAAGGCAGCCATTTATCCTCATGCTAGCTTCAACATATTAAAAGCCAATAAGCTGATTTGCGGAATAATTTTCCTTATTTGCTCTTTCAAAGATGCTGAAGTTGGGGAACATTTGTGGTCTTTTCAGGTATGCTTCCTGTGAAATTCTAGGAATTGTAATTAAAAAACCCCCAAATGTTTATTGTATCTGAAAGATGTGCCCACAACCATATCAGCACATCCCTTCTGTGTACTGTTTTACAAATATGTGGATCTGTGAGATTGCACCAGAAGAACTGTACTCCAGAAGGATTTAGAATGAGGTGGACTACTAATGTAACTAAATATGAATTTTTAAGTAAGTATAGATACATAAAGCACATAATGCTGGAAGTGATTAGGCAGAATTCCTAAACATCTTACACCAGAGCTGTTTCCCTAATACTAAGTGATACAAAGATCACTGTGTATAATGCATATGATCAGTGGATCCAAATATTTTAAAAATTAAGATTTAACCTATAAGAAACATGTTTGTACTTTGCATTGTTTACAAAGCAGATTCTGCTTTCTTTGAGGTGCTAATATTTTCTTTATGTTTTAGAATAAGTACTTTGAAGTGCATAGAGATGATACGATACTCTTTAGCATTATATGAGGAAAAAGTATGAGTGAAAGGAATGATTCTTAAACAATAATGAGTCAATGTTATCATTTGTTTAAAGGAAAGTGGTGGTAGATACACTCAACAAATTAGGATTTACAGCTTTGATGGTTGCTTCACAAAAAGGTTTTGCAAGGTAGGCAGCATTACAACTTTTAGCTTTATCTGCTGCAAACTTTGTTTCTTTACGGATGTTCTGATTGCAATGATGAATTATCCCCTTTTAAAGATGACATTAACACGCTTTAACATCAGGAATGGCCAGCTGGTGGCTCGCTGTGAGATTAAATATCAAAGCAACTTATGTGGCCCTCGATGGTTCTAACAAAAATGTTTCCCTCCCACTTCAAGTTTTAAAAATGAAGAGATTTCTTCCTTTAAGGTTGCTTTTTGTTTGAAATTCTTTGAAACATATGTAATTGTAAATACAGTATGTATTGCTGTACCTGAGTATGTAATAGCAATAAGGTGGCAATTAGATGGCAACAATGTTATTATGGTGGCTGATCAGTGCAACTATCAGATCACTGGCTGGAAAATACATTTGTCTCTAGTGTTGCTGAATGTTCCCATCTCTGTTTTCAAATACATTATCTTGATGCTTGTTCAACTGCTCTTTCATTTTCTGTTGTTTAAAGTTTTTGTTCAGTTGAAATGTTACAGTCCTCAGACTGACAATTTAGTGTTCAGACTGATTTCTGTTACATTGTAAAAACACAGTGCAATGTGTAATATGCTATGTACAGTACGTATTAGGCAAACTGTGAGCTAAGACTGAAACTTTTCTTTATATATCACAGCAAGCAGTTGGTTTTTGAAAAATAATCTGCTACAAATGTTTTGTATCTAGACTTGCAAAGATTTTGGTAGAACATGGTGCAGATGTAAATGTGAAGAATTCCAGTGGAAAAGACAGGTAACAAACACATTACAGCATCTAATCAGAGTACAAAGTCCAGAATCAAGACCCAAAGGCATATTTCTATATACCGTGGTGTTTTTCTTTATCTTGAGCCAATGGGATTATGGCTTCCCCCTTTCCTGCTACACCTGTCCATAATACCAAAAACCTCCTCTAGAGAACTTCGTGGTCCTCCAGATTATGTTTCTAGGCTTGGAAAGTGCTACAAAAGGGAGTGAAGATAGTCAGGTAGAAGGGATAAGATCCAGTGGAAGTACAACACTGGATCATGTCCCAGGTGACAAGTAGGAACTAAGGTGTATATTTCAATATGCTTTGGGAAGGAAGTTACACAATGATGCTATGATGCATACAAATGTATTTCCTGTACCTACACAGTACAGGGTAGTATACACAGGATAAACTGCATTATGGTTGCTCCTCAGGGAAATACACAGTCATCCATGTGTTTCAGATCTTTGGACTATTCTAGGTGTTTCAGTTCAAATTTACTCTAGAGGGGAAAAAGTGCCAATAATTCCAGTTGTTATAACTCAGTTACTATTAAATATTTAATTATATTACATGTATACCTGATAATATCCAAGATTTCCATAAAAATATATTTCAGAAAGCAACCGTATACCTAACACAATATAGTCTAATAACATCAGCTTCATTTGCATGAGCCTTTTTGGATGGTAGCTGATTCTGTTACATTAATACATGTAATGAACTGCACTACGGTCTAGAAAAACGTATGCCAAAGAAACTAGGTAGTCTTTAAGGTACCACAAGGCTCTCTGTTGTTTTTGCTACAGCATACTAACACTGCTAGAGCCCTGGAAGTCGTATATTCTTTGAGTTTAGTGACACTGTTTTCCATGTAAGTGAATGTATGATCTCAGCTCTATCCTAAAATGGAAGTCCTGCTTTTATAGATGCTTTATATGCTACTAAATGTACCTTGATACGTATATAATGCTGTCTGATCCGTGCAGCAAAGAAATCTTACATCTTGGAAGTCAGTGTATCTCATCTCTTGGAAATCTGATGTTTTGTTCTCTGTGAAGGCATGAAAATGAAGTAATGTCTCAAAAGATTTGACAGAATCCCCAGTGATTTCTGTTGACCTGCAGATCATAGCAATTACTATGAAAGAGATCTCCAGTACTGTTTCTTAGAATACGAGCTTTGACTGGTTCAGCCAAATCGGGCATTCATTTAGTAAAAGCTGTATTTTATGAATGTTTTATTTTACATTCGTCTGTCAAGCCAGACAGGGTATTGATTATTGACCAACATATGTTTGAGGAGATCCACACATCGATCCTCTTTTCACACTGCTCATGTCAAGTTTGAATCCAGTGATCCTTGTGCAAGCAGAAAGTCCTATTGTTTGCAGCAGGATGATCTCGAACTTATATAACTGCAAGCCAGAGATCGCTGTGGCAGACACAACGCCCGGCAGGTGCAATATCCTTATGACTGATGTTGGCTTGCAAGTGTATAACAACCAACATAATGTTTAGGGGCTACAGTAATTGCTTAAAGTAAAGAAATCACCATAGATGTTATCAGTTCCATGCTGACTCACATTACTTAATGCACCACAATGTCTATGATGATTTCTTAATTTGAAGCAGTCCAGAAGTTGTGCCGTTTGCATTATGCTTGCAGGCGTTGATTAATAATATTTTGGCCTATAAATTATTTGTAAGACTGTAAACAAACTGTTCTAACAGATTCTTTTATATAAACCTGATGGAGGAATTAGTCTTATCTTTAATATGCTAGTAATTACATCATTAGTTCCCCAATTTTGTTTCTTCTGGACAGTACCAACAGCTTTAAAAGACATTTAAAAGTAAAAGTAATAAGATGGCATTTTGGGAATGCAATAGTCCATTTCTGGTAAGCCTGTCCTGGTTATCTATACTTTTGCTATATACAGGGAAGAATGTAATTAAGACCTCTGACTAACAGAAATACTTCCATCAGTGCTATGAGGAGAAGGAGTGACTCCCTTTTAACCAGTGTTCAATTTCATCCTTGTACAAGTTGTCACAGTAGTACAAATGATTAAAAATGAAACAAAATAAAACAAGAGAGAAGTGCCAAAAACAGAAATAATGCAAGAAGAGTTGCCAGGTCTCTGACTCACTAGTTGTCAGACATGGCAACATTTATTTCAGCTGAATATTTTGATAAATGGTTGGATTTTCTGATGGTACTCAAGAAAGGTTTGCAAAATATATAAAAATCAGTACATAAACAAAGATCTCTACAAAATTGTTTGAAGGAATAATACATCAAATACAAAACATATAGTATTGAAAAGAGATCAATGGTAGGTATAATTTTAAATGTTTTTAAAATTGAAAAAAATGGAAAGGATTTCCGTTATGAGATTTTAAAGTAGTGTTTCCCCCCCTTTCATAATTTGTATTTTTATTTTGCAGTTTAATGATAGCCTGCTTTGCTGGTCACCTGGACATTGCTCAGTATCTTAGATCCCAAGGCGCTTCTTGGCAATCCAGAGATCTTGGGGGATGTACAGCTATGCACTGGGCAGTTGATGGAGGACACTGTGATGTAATTGAGTGGATGATACAGGATGGTTGTGAGGTATGGAATTGATCCATAAGGAACACAAGGAAGGCAGCATTTTATACCAGTTTTTCCAGTATGCATATGCTAATGACTATATTGGCCAAAATCCTGTTGTATACAGTTGTTTATACTTGTGTAAGATAAATTACATTAGTTGTAATGGCAAATTACTGGTAACTAATGAGGTTCCCTGGACATGAATCCCACTGTGTCACTGTAGTTTAATTTTCTTTATGCAAGTGTAAATTGCCAATAGGATTCTGACCTTTGTTAGACTTGATAGGATGGAGCACTGTGCCGAAAGCAACAGAATGAAATTCAACAGGGATAAGTGCAAAGTACTGCACCTCGGAAAAAGAAACCATTTGCAAAGTTACAAGGTACCTGGCTTAGCAAAACTATGAGCAAGAAGGATCTTGGAATTGTCATAGATACAAGCTAAATATGAGCCAACAGTGTGATGTGGCTACAAAACAGGCAAATGCTCTTTTAGGCTGCATTAATAGAAGTATAGTTTCCAAATCCTGTGAGGTGCTAGTCCCCCTCTATTCAGCACTGGTTAAGCCTCACCTTGGGTATTGTGTCCAGTTCTGGACACCACACTTCAAGAAGGATGGTAACAAATTGGAACAAGTTCAGAGGACGACGACAAAGATGATCAGGGGGCTGGAAACCAAGACTTACGAGGAAAGGCTGAAAGAATTGGGCATGTTTAGCCTTGAGGAAAGAAGACTGAGGGGTGATATGATTGCACTTTTCAAATATTTGAGAGGCTGTCCTGCAAAGGAGGGGCAAGATCTGCTCTCAAGCATCCCAGAGTGGAGGGCATGCAACAATGGGCTGAAGTTAAAGGAAGCCAGGTTCGACTGAATATCAGGAAAAACTTCCTAACTGTTAGAGCAGTACGGTAGTGGAACCAGTTACCTTGGGAGTTGCTGAGTGCTCCAACACTGGAGGCATTCAAGAAAAAATTAGATAATAACCTGCCAGATATGCTTTGATGGTATTCCTGCATTGAGCAGGGAGTTGGATTTGATGGCCTTGTAGGCCCCTTCCAACTTCACTTTTCTATGATTATATGATGGAATAGTTGCATGTACAAAAAGCTATAGAGAAAATGCATTCTTCAATCCATTTATATTGTGTATTTTGTTTGTGTATTGCAATGGTTTCTAACTGTGCCTCCTGCAAATGGTTTTGGGATCCATATTCTTATTTAAAACCCTATATACAATATTTTAGTGGTGAAAAAGGGCACTCTGGTTTTGATAGAGAGTATGCACAAATGGAAGCTGCCCATGCAACAAGGCTTTGTTGCTCACTGCTGGAACACTGTTATTTCTCTTGAAAAGCCCCCCACCTCTGCAAGTGCTTTAACCCAATTTTCTGCTTCCCACTGCATATCCTACACCACATCTCATACATTTCCTGTCATTTGGATGGGGAAACCACAGGGAAAAAGAATGGGTGAGAAAATCCTTTTGCAAGTGTGACCTACTCATGAACATTCTGAACTCAAACTACTGGTTTCAAGAAATTGCTTGAATATATTATAACACAAAATATACATGCATAATCTCATATATAATCTTCCAAATTTAGAGAATACTGTGAAAGTCCTAGATACTGCTTTTTAACAAATACAAGGTGCAATCACATTCCAGTTTACCCTGATTTGTGTCAGAGTTGGCACAATTAAAATTGAAGTATTTACCAGTGATTGCATGATGTAAGACTATGCATGGGTAACCCTGCCAGCAGGGGCTCCTAGTTTTCTATGTCAATTCTGCATGTATTGATTTGCTTCAGTTTCTGAAATGTGACTGCCTATCTCAGTCCTAAGGGGTGTGTGTGTGTGTGTGTGTGTGTCTGTCTGTCTGTCTGTCTCTCTGTCTGTCTGTCTGTCTGTCTCTCTGTCTGTCTGTCTGTCTGTCTCTCTGTCTGTCTGTCTGTCTGTCTCTCTGTGTATCCTTAGGTGATGATGATAGTGACAAGCTCTCATTAGAACTGGCTGGAAAGATCTGGAGCACCTGTCAAGGGAAGGCTTTGCCAAAATTGCTGCTGCTTTCAGCACTTTCACCTCCCCAAAAGTGATCAGCTCAATGGCCTCTCATGCAGATTGGGTTTCTGCCTCTTCCTCCGCCTCCATGCTTAGGTGCTTGCTCTTGTCAAAATGCTTTACATATCCACCCATCTCTTTTAATTTGTTTAATGCATAGGAAAAGGAAGAACTAGGCTTGAACAAGGTTGTGTCGATTTTAGTCTGTAGATAAGAGGTGAACAAAAGGAAAAAAGGAGTGATAAATATATAATCTCTAAATCACATGAAGTCCTATTTCCTCTCTATTCAGCACTGCTTAGGTCTCATCTTGAGTACTGTGTCCAGTTCTGGCACTGCACTTTAAGAAGGATGCAGGCAAACTGGACAGGTTCAGAGAAGAGCAACAAGATCAGGGGACTGCAAACCAAGCCCTATGGGAACGACAAGAACTAGACATGCTAAACTTTGAGAAAAGAAGACTGAGGGGAAAATACTTGAAAGCTTGTCATATAGAGTAGGGGCCTATGGGAACGACAAGAACTAGACATGCTTAACTTTGAGAAAAGAAGACTGAGGGGAATATACTTGAAAGCTTGTCATACAGAGTAGGGAAAGGATCTGTTCTCAGTCATTCCAAAGTGCAGGAACCATAATAATGGACTCAAGTTCCAGGAAGTCAGATTTCAGTTGAATATTGGGAATAACTTCATAATGGTTAGAGAAGTATGAAAATGGAACTAACTACCTAATGATATAGTGAGGCATTCAAGATAAAGTTAGACAACCATCTGTCAAATATACTTTGATTTAGATTCCTGCATTTGAGCACTGGGTTGGATTCAACGGCCTTATAGGCCTCTTCCAACTCCATTATTCTATGATTCTGTGGAGTGATACTACCTGCACTAAATAACAACACAACAACACAGCAGCAGCAGCAGCCCTGATAGGGACTCAAAGAGATAGAGGTAGGCTTCAATCAGGGATGGGCTGGTTTACAATTGCCCATAAGTCATGTGGTTGCTGGAAAAAGGAGTGAACTGGCCCAGCCCCAAAGCAGACCAAACTATGGGGCAAAGTCCCATCTGATCTCACCCTTATTTCTCAGCCTTATAAATAAGCCACAGATGTTAATAGTCTACAACATTTGGGCTAATATGTTTCAGCTAAGAGGCTAGAAGTCGTACTGAGGAGAGGAAAATTCAATTGAGAGAGAGAGAGAATCAACTACAATATCAATATTAAATATGATGCAACAGAGCCAGTCTGGGAAACATAATACATTAATTATACATGTGTAACATCTGCAAATAAAAGAAAATAATGTGAAACATCGCTTAGAAATGTGCCATAAACAAACATTATCTTGACCAATAATAATATAACTTCTGCTGCTGATAGTACTACAAATTTATCAAAAGCATGCTGTGCATAGTGCAGATAACAGTAATAACATTCTCCTTGCCAGGAGTCATTTCATTGCAGTAAAACAGAGAGAATGCAGGTGAGAAACAAAAGTGTGCTGTAGCTATTGAAACCACAAAAACAGGGTAACTTATCTGGTAGTAGGTGGCCCTGACAACATAATCTGGTGGGAGGTGCTTTGTAAAAGGAAGAGATTTTGAAGTGGGTTGCCATAAGGGAAAGGTTAAGAAGGCTGCTCCCGGTACAAACAACTGCACTTTTCAAAATAAAATGAGAAATAAATTGATAGACCATTCATGTAAAATGGACACTGAAAGTGGGCAATTGCTTAGCAAGTATTCAACAGAGCAGGAATTATTTCATTGTTCACTGAATTTCTTCTTCAAGTTACAGAAGAACTTTCATTCTACAATAGGTTGATGCTAAAGATGCAGGTTTGGAGTGGACTCCGCTGATAAGGCTGTGTGCATTGACAGGAAAAACAGATGTGGCCACACTTTTGATAGATGCTGGAGCTGATGTGAACACCAAGGATAAGGATGGCAAGACCCCTTTAATGGTATGGTCTGTTAGTAAGAAAACAATAAACATGCTCCCCAGTAAACAGCAAACAATATCTATGCAAGGAGCTTTCACCTACACATCTTTTTTTTAAAAAAAGTATCCAACTTAAGGACTCTTTGTACCTGTGTTATAATGACAGGAGGATTTGCAAAGTAACACTTCATTTCCTCTTTGATTTTTCTTGTTAAGGCATTTTATATCAAACTATCTCTCCAGGTTTGGTGCATGAAATGGAGTGCATATCCTGAGCAGATTCAAATGTTTCTTTAATAAGATGAGCCCTCTTATTCCTTCATACTTGGAAATTCATCTTTCTGAAGTATTGCATTTGTAGATTCTATAAAGATCAAAATGCTCTCTGTCAGGTTTTCATTCCAGTCAGCACAGAGTGAGCAAGCAAGTACTTCTCTGCAGTTACAAACAGGTGCTTGGGATGCTGTTTTAATGATCTATAGAAGCATGTATATTATTTGCAAGTGCTCACTGATCATTAATATTCAGATCCCTACTGCAGAGGCAGATTTTAGTGCCACTGTTAAGTTCAGACATCTAGAGTGCCATGAGACCACACGAGTTGAACAAATTTAAATTGCAGATTATGTGAGGTGAATTACTTAGGTGTCTCTGGTCTTGCATGCCAAATTTACCCAGTCCCTAAAAAACATTCTTGAGACTAGAGGTCTTAAGGCCATGTCATGCAGTGTGACTAATATCCTGTTGCCTAAATATGGAGCAGAAGGAAAATCACAGAAGCATCTCCTCCACTCTCCATTGTACACAGTTGTGTGATCACCTGAGTATATGACAGCGTTCCTGAGTGAATGCTTATGCAATTTACCTTCTGATTCATGTTTAGGCAACAGATTATTAGCCTATGTTTTAGTGATATCTGCACTCTGATTTAACATGTGACTACAACTGATATGTGTGTAAATGCATACATCATATAAAGTTCATTCGCAAGAGAGCAATGATCAGTTGTGTCCTGTTAAGTGAACAGGTTTACTACTATGAAATGTGCAGAATGATTTTAGACTCCAAGCTTTGGCTGTGATGCTTTAAAGAATAAAATGTGAATTAACATTTCATATGTGCTTTGATTTATCTTGTTAAGGTGCTTTGTATCAAAATACCTCCCTCGGGTCTGGTGGATTTCTGAAACTTTTTCATTCAACTATCCAGACTTGACAGTCTATCCAGAAAGTTTAGCAGTCTGCTTGTGCTTGGTCAACTCTGCTGATTCTAAACTATTCAAAAGAATACTTACCGTAGATAGCCAAGGGGACTAAGACTTTGCAGAAAAGACCATAGGTGCAAAGAAAGTAGCATCTGCTGTTGTTTTAACAAAGCAAGCTTAGGCCACTAAGTCTTACATTTAGTAATCTCACCAAGTCCCACTGCTTACTGAAGGCTAGCTGCATTTGTTCTAATACAGCCATGTTATTTATATTATTGGGATGGAGTTCTGATATTCACTAACGTTTGCACTGGGTCAATAGTAGCACTTATGGGATAGTGCTTATGGCAGAATATAGTCATTGGCTTTCTTTGAAAAAAGGGATGTCAGTTTAGTTTCCTTCAAAGCAATTTTACTTCTATAATCCCTTTTCTTTTTGTGGAAAAATATTTCAATGGAGTTCTGATATTCACTAACGTTTGCATTGGGTCAATAGTAGCACTTATGGGATAGCGCTTATGGCAGAATATAGACATTGGCTTTCTTTAAAAAAAGGGACGTCAGTTTATTTTCCTTCAAAGCAATTTTACTTTTATAATCCCTTTTCTTTTTGTGGAAAAAATATTTTGTGAGTCAACCAACTATGGGCTGTAAGCTGGGACAGAACAACCAGGGCCCTTAAAAATGCTCCAGTTGACATTACAAACTTAGTCTCTTAAGACAGAAGTATTTCTTGCCATGGGTCAAGACATTAGACTCTCCAAACGTTGGAAAGTTTATAGCATGAAATTATGTGGCTTTCTCTCTCATTTTACTTTCAGGTTGCGGCATTGAATAACCAAGAAGAATTGGTTGCATTATTGTTAGAGAGGGGAGCAGATCCTGATGTTAAAAATGAGGTAATAAGAATCATAGAACTTTTTAGATATAAAAATACTATAGACTATTTTAAAAAACAAATTGAACATGTTTATCTTTTTTTGGGGGGCGGTATCTTTTTCAGTTTGGCAAAGGTGCTCTGGAAATGGCTAGAGGATTAAACAGACAGGTATGCCTCCTTTTACCTTGAACTCATCTGTGGATTTTTAGTTTATTAGCATTCATTCTTATATCACTTCACATTATTGTTTCATCCCTTTTTTTCTTTCAGAGTGTAGCTTCAGTAATCGAAGATAAAAAAAGGAAAATGAGTAGTATGGCCAGTCTTGCTCCATCTGCCAGTACGCAGCTGTCTGAGGCAACTGAATGAAATCCGAATCTTTCCTGCTAGGAAGATGGTGAGACTGTATTGATTCAATTCTGGTTGTTTCCCTTTTTCCTGTTTGGTTGTTACACATTCTTGGACACCTTGATTAAATGCTAGCTTTGCTTCTTATTCAATATTTTCTTTTGCGTTTATATTCACCTGCATTACTAAGAAATTTTATTTTCTCACTACAATCCGTTTAACAGTGATTCAGATATATTTTTTTTGCTCTTCTGTTCTTTGCTGTTGTGCAGCTATTCAATTTCCCCCCTCTTTAATGTATTGTTCATCGAAACTAAAATTACAAAAGCTGTGTGAAACTGTGGCATGATAACACAATGAAAAGCGCAATGTCTGGACACCCTCCCCCCACTAACATCAAATGAATGATTGTCACAATACTATAAGAGCTATTACTGACACCAAGAGCCAAATGAGGTATTATTTATATAATTCCCCCCCCCCCCCCCAAATAAGCTGCCATGGTATGAGAGTGTTTTAACTCTTTGCTCTAATGGTCCTTATTGTCACTAGTGAGCATGTTCTTTTCACTGTGAACAGCAGGCGGAGGAAATTCTAACTGGAACCATGGGAAGGGCAAATGGTTAAAGCCCTCATGTCACCATGCCAGCAATCCAATCTCTTCCCCTTGCAATCCCAATACTGGCTAAAAGTAAAGCATACAAGAACAAGCTACATGACAGGTTTCATTGTCTGATTTGACTCAGGTGTATTCTAAGTGTTCTGATGCAGTTCAGGAGTCCAAGGTAATTGGCTTTTTTACAGCAGAAGTAATATGAGGAAATAATTTGGTTAGTAGTGAAGGGGCCATTGAGTTCCAACCCTAAAAATGACCCTGAAGGGATGGCTTGCAGTTACAAAACTCCAGGCAACTGGCACAGAATTGTTCCAGAAGGAGAACACAGTTTTCAAGTTGCGGTCCCATGCGCACTTTCATGACAATAAATTTCATTGAATATAGTGGAACTTACATCTGAGAACATATGCATTGGATTACTCTGTTAGGCTACAATCCAATGATAACGTACCTGCCAGTAATTTCCCTTGTTCTAAATGAATTTCATATAGGAGCAGATATGCTTTTGATCATATTGTAAACAAGTGATTATAAAATCAAGCTACTGATGCAAACTGGTTGCCAACTATGAGAGGTGTGAAATTGATCTTACACCTTCATATGTTATTGTTATTGTTTATTATATTTCTTGGATGCTTTTACGCCCTCCCCCATCTGTAGTCATCTTACAGATAAAATATGCAAAATTTAGAATAAAAATAATTTATAATGCAAAATAGCACTTCTTCCTAAGAACAAATTCTAGGGATAGTCAGTTGGTGAAAATTGACCAGTCCCATCCTCTCAAATACCAGGGAGTATCTGAGCCTCAGTTGTACTTGTAGAGCTTTCAACAGTTGCATTTAGTCCGCAAGTGACAAGACTATGAGCAACAAGAAGTATACAGATTGGTGAAAAACTGGTCAAAGTTTTGCAGGGAGGGAAAATGTGCGACCCAAATTTTCTTTTATTCAGAAGTAGGTGAAAAATGCAAATGTACAGGATAGTACTTGTAGCACTTTCCTTATGCTTACTGATCCCTTGATCCATCCTCCTTACTGAAGGTATCATAAATCAGAAATTGAAAGTTACAATCAGTGGGCAAAATCCTGTTGTGTAAAGTAACTAGATCTGGCACCAAAGTAATTAATTTACATTATACTACATAATTAATTTGAAGCTTCCAGCCTCTACTTTTCAGGTTCCAAGGATTCTTGGTGCTTTCTTTTGCCCTGGAGAAGACTTTGAGAGCCTTGTGGCAGTGAAACTAATAGTTATATCTTTATTTTATAAATTAAAATCCACTGTCAGGTCACCACCACCAGGATTGGGACCACTGGCAGCAATCTGGTGGTGATTTTTGGCCCTTTCTATTCTGAGGCACCCAAATTTCAATGATCTCTAATACACCTTGCCATGCTCTTTTATTGGGCTTTCTTAGAGATGTGGGATTTTGCAATTCTTTCCTAAGCTGATTTGCTTTTTATTTGTTGGGCCATTCATTCAATATATCTCCAGAAGGCAGCATTTCATTTATTTTTTAACCCCCCTAGACCTTTTCCTCTTCATAGGTTGTCCATGGATTGACTTATTAGATTCCCATGGGTTTCAGTATCATTCATACACCAATTATACCTAGCTCTATCAACACCAAGTCTTTCCTCTAGCAATCAAGCCCATATTTCAAATGGTTTGTCCAACGTTTCAGCTTGGATATTTTATCATTGTGTGACACTTAATTTGGTGTTTAAGACTACGTTGTTTATTTTAATTCGCAAGCAGCTGTCTTTTTACGCACATTTCCAGTAACTATTGATAATATTATCCACTCTGTGGAGCAGGTATGCAGGTTTCATTTTATTTTTGATTCATCTCTTTCTTTGCTTCCCTATATACAGGCTAATGTTAAGATTTGCCTTTCCCCCCCTTTTATAATACTGCTAGAATTCATCCTTTATTTCTTCGGCTAATACTTTAGTTCATGCCTTAGTTGCTTCTCATTTAGTCTGTTGTAATCTTTTGGTTGGTATTCCACAAGCTCATATTAATCCCCTTGGTTCTATTCAAAACTTGGTTGCTAAGATCACTTTTTTTGGCTCACTGTTCATGTAACTCCAATTCTGAAGTCCCTTCACTAGCTTCCTGTCAATTCCAGGATTCAGTACAAGCTTCCTTGTCTTGCTTTCAAAGTCCTTTGTGTTCTGTCTCCTTCCAGTCTTTTGACCATCTGTTCCCTCCATTCTTCCAATTTTATACAGTACTTCTTCCTTGTCTGAAGATTACGTGGTCTTTCATGTACCTTCCCACCTTCTTCCGTGCAGCTTCATATGTGTGGAGCTATTATCCAGAACATGTGAGGTATCCCCTCACTTAGTCTGTTCAAATAACTTTTACAAATCCTCACTTCTTTTGTGTATTTTTAAGTACTGTATTCTATTTAGTTTTTTTAATCATGTGAAGTTCTTAATATTTATTTAAATTATTCATTTTTAATTACTTGCTCATTTGTTATATACCATTTCTTGGTCCTTCTACTCCTATTTGCTGTTTTGTGTTTTAAATTGTATGTCCCTTAGGGAAGAATTTTATTTTCATCTTCTGTACAGAGGAATGTATTTTGAGGATGCTGTGTAAATAAATGATGATGATGATGCTTTTACTGATTCTTTGAGTTACTCTGCAGAAGACTAACAATTGGCTATAGTCCACTGTCTACAGGAATAATATAATTTGGTTAATTCAGGCCACCATTTTTGAGACATTTTAAAACAGGAGTTTGAGATTTAAACAAACTGTAACTATGAAGTTAGTCTGTAAAAGTGCCTTATCTACCACAGTATGAGCTGATATTGTTAGAGAAGGGTCCAGAATTTCATTTGATGGATGAAACTGTTTTGTCTAAAAATTAACTTCACAGAGTTTAGAGTCTATTAACCTTGGTTTTGTATGACCCAATAGCTATTCTTGCATATCATTTAGAAGACATTCTTGCAGATGATAGATGTTAAGAACTGAACTAATCATTGCAATCAAAACAGTATGCATTTATTTATTTATTATGATCAGGTGACCAGCTCATAAAACATATTTATGGTTAAAATATACAAAATGCAGTTTAAAAATATGCAACCAATTCATAAAACATATTATATGGCTAAAATATACAAAATGCAGTTTAAAAATCAAAACAGTTACAGCTTGCTTCTGTCTACAAATATCCCATTTAAATGGTTTAGGAGAGACAGCAGCAATGATGAAATTGAGCGACTGTGTTAGAATGACGCCATCAGGCATTATTTTCAAATGTAGTTGTCTATTTATTGTACATAATAGAGAGACTGAAAAACAGTTCAATTTCTTTAATAAACTATGTTTTTGAATTCAATGCCTTGCAACTAGTGGTAAGGTAAAGGTAAAGGTTCCCCTTGACAGTTTTTGTCCAGTCATGTTCGACTCTAGGGGGCGGTGCTCATCCCCGTTTCCAAGCCACAGAGCCAGCGTTTTGTCCGAAGACAATCTTCCGTGGTCACATGGCCAGTGCGACTTAGACACGGAACGCTGTTACCTTCCCACCAAGGTGGTCCCTATTGATCTACTTGCATTTGCATGCTTTCGAACCGCTAGGTTGGTGGTAGCTGGGTTGGTGGTAGCTGGAAAAAAATATTTTGGTTTATCTGGTAATTTGTATTTGTAAAAGCACCAGTGGTGTGCAAGGTGTAAATGATCAGGGCTGACCAGGCAGGTGAAAGAGCGATTGGGCGGGCGGGGGGGAAGTAAGTGGCAGAAGAGCGATTGGTTGGGCAAGTGAACAAGGAGGGCAATCAGGCAGGTGAAAGGGCAATCAGGCTGTGCTGGGTGAGTGATCGGGCAGGCACTGGCTTTTTCTGCAAGCACAGTGTTACTTATTTTAATTTCTGCTATCTAGTATAGCGCTGTATTAGATAGCAAGAATGTTTAAAAAGTAAATTCACATATGCATAACCGATTCCAATGAATTGATTGCACATCTACACCAAAATAAACAGAGCTCTGGCAGAGGAGCAGAAAAACTTACTCCTTTGGCATAGTACTCCAAGCTCACATGTGCCTCATGTGTACACTAACATGTAAATCTTTTTAAAAAGCTGAACCCAGTACAACAGTGGGTTTTATTGTCAGTGGGCCTGAGCCCCAAATCAGTTTTTTGTCTTCTCACAGCAGAGATATTCATCATTTCTTGTCTCTTGGTTTGAACAGTTTGCTTCCTGGCACTGAAGTAGTGTGCTTATTTTAATGGATTTTTAGAGTGGTAAAAAGCTAATACTAGATGTCAAGGTGACCTTTCTAAGTTCCATAAGGCTTTCCAAGGGGATTGTGAACCTGACAGTCAACAGAAACTTAAGTATATAGAATAAGCCATTTGCTCAAATCCTAACCAAAACAATATACTGTATCTTGCCATGTAGGATTATAATTCTATCTCTTCCCATGATAGTAATATACAGTGATGTTTTCTGCAAATCATATTCTACTGTGAAGAGTCATTCTGACCCACATCCCTGTCATATGCCTTTTCTAACAGAATGGGCCTCTCACATAATGCTGGCACATACAGTCAATGTGATATCAACTCCAGATCTAGCCAACGGGCAAATTAAATAATGTAGCAGGGCAGTTTGACTTGCATCATTTTGTCTTTTTTCGAATATATTTGGAAACCATCTCTTTGTTAGAAGATAAAATAGCCAAGTATATATGGGCTTGAGAAATCATGATAGGATATTTTGTTGCATATCTTTTTATGACAGTTATGGAAACACTTCTAATTATGGAAATAGTTGTAAAATTTGGAAGTTGTCACAGAATTGCTATTGCTTCTACTTTTCAATAAGAACATGTATTTATTT